ATGTTCCTTTGTTTGTAATCTGAACAGCTTCAGTGCTGTTCAGAATGTATTTATAGTTTACACAAAAAGTTACATTCCACCCCCCCCCGGACTTAATGGAGCTAAAAACTCCTTTTCCTAAACTAAATATATCCTTTATTCTGAAATACATTACTGCTAATATTCAGGGTAGTATATGAAAGATACAGTGTTTCATATACTGCTATGAATATTAACAGGATTAAATAACTAAATGTTGCTGTTATATTTGAATGATAATTCAATGAGAAAATACATGTGCTTTTGTCCAACTACAAAAAGGACTCTGATATACTCCCTCCTTACATACTTTTTTTTTTTTTTTTTTGGTAGCAAATAATTTTGACATTTTTGTCCTGTGTATTTATGGCGACTTCTCATGCTGCCTTTAAAGCTCAGTCTAATGGTGAAGGCATCAGACTAGAAAGTCAGAGACTGTGAGTTCTAGTCTCATCTTAGTTTAAAAAGCTGGTTGGGTGACTTCAGGCCAATCATTAAATCTTTCAAGCCTAACCACCCCTCATAGGGTGGTTGTTGTGGTGGTGGGGAATAGGAGGAGAAAAAGGAGTATTAGTTATCTTTGCTGCCTTGAGTTACTTATACAAATAATAAATGTGGGGCGAATAAACCTCTCCCAGGGGGACTCTGCCAGGTTAAGCACCATGGGCAGCTCAGAAGGTTCCAAAACAAGACTCCAAGCTGGTCAACTGGGATGCAACAAAGCCAGCCAGAATTCTTCACTTCCTGGCAACAGCACAATATAACCCCCCCCCCCCACATAGATGATCAAAGTGATCGGAGAGAAACAATAAAGCCCTTGTAAAAACGGCAGTCTGTTTTGCAGGAGGAAACCAGCAAGGAGACGAATAGAGCAACTGCTGCAAATCAAACACATTTGCGAGTTTAGAAAGAGCTTTGAAGAATATTTCAAGCTTCGTCCTATTGGCGAAGATTTCCCCGCTCTCCTTCCTGCAACGTATTTTTAAAAAGCTCCCCCACCCGAGATGCGTTTCTCAGTACTCACCTCGCACAGGGAAGTAGGTGAGAGTGTACTCGCCAGGCACTAGGAGGAAAAAACACGAGAAGGAAAGAGGATTGTTACCGCAGCACCCGCTAGAGATAATAAATTAAACGCACCGCGACGGCATGCGTTTAATTCTGCCAGGAGATGGGAGCCCCCATTGCATCTCGCGTGTGCCCATCACCCCAGGAGGGGAAGGAGAACCAGGCCAGCTGTACAGAAACGTGGGGATTACTCACTGTCGGGAAATCTGCGGTTCAAGGCACACAACCAAAGCAGAGAGCGATTGATCGAACAGATCCTCTAGCTAGCATCTGCACAAAGCAAAGCTCGGCAAAAGTTGCTGAGTCACGCCCCACCAGCTGGCCTCTGGACTAGCCCTTCTTAAAGGGGCAGGAAGAGGGAAAGGGCTTCTTAGACTTGGCTTCTTCCTTATATCCGAGCCTAAGTTGGCCTCAGTTTAGCCGCTACAGGAGTCAATGGCAATCTTTTGGGTCGTCTCGAACACTGGAATGTGCCTGGGAAAACGATGATGCCTAAATAAACGGGGAGTCGATTGTCTTTTGGAACACGGCGCTGGCACTGCAGCGTGGTCGTTTATAGACTCGACTTTTGCTTTTTTAAGAGTCCAAGTTGGTTCACAACGTCGAAAAGTAGGGTGTCCCTTCCCCTTTCCGGGAACTGCAATTAGTAGAGAGAGGAGCAACAGCTGGAGGAAATAGATTATAAATCACATAACATACTAAGCCCCATAGCTGAATGCTGTCAAACCTGAATGCTGCTTCCAATTACAAAGTATTGGTTTGGGCAGCAATTGTGTCTGATAGAAGAAGTAATGGGAAACTACTGAAGTGTTACCTTGTGCAAAATAAGGCCAGAAGAGACTAATAGAGGATAAAACTCATAAATGAGAATCACTCATAGCTGAGATTAAGAATGCAAAGGATGAGCCTTAAACTGGCTGTTCCCTCAGGCCTTATGCCCTGATGTTGCATAACCCCATCTGATCACGGTTACTGGGGGGGGGGGGCAGTGGCGGTTGGTATGTTGCTTCTGCGGTTTGCTTTTATTCCTTTGTCAGCTGTCCAGAGTCACTTGACCAGTATGTGATCTTAAAAATCAACCCTTTTTTAATTTTTAAATGAAGGAATAAAAGAAATGTTCCCAGATGGTGATTTTGAAATACAATTGTCAATTGAGATCTTAATGTTACAGTGTGTTGAAACATGTTTAACTGCTTGGGAATTACATCACATGCACAGAAAATCTGCATGCATCATTCCAGCTCTGAAACAAACCAGTGATTCAATTAGATCCTTATTCTATGGAAGAAGTGTATGCTATAGAGTATGTAGACTTTTTTTTACTTTGTGCTTGTTGGTCATTGATCTAGTTGTAGTTTTCTATTTATGTCAGAATATTAATTATGGTCTGCAGTTACAGTAAATCATGCTTGAAGTCTCACCTCAACCTAAAGACAAGGAATATATCCTTTTGAAATTAGTGGCAACCTTTGTTTTAAGAATTGTCCAGTGATAACCATGCTTAAGGACACTTACCCAGAAAAAGTGAACTAGTACCCTTTAAAAAAAGTTTTTAAATTTATTTTACAAGCAGCTAAAAGTCTGGGGTAGTCCGCTTCGATTCTAGGAATAGGGAGATACATAGAAAGGAAAAGTCGATCTCATCTCATCTCCTTTATTCCAAAAGAAATTCCCATAGCTTTGCAGCGGCTGCAAAACCACAGCAGAGCACAGCAAATTCGGCAGCAAAGGTAGCTCTTTACTGCTGTAGCCTGTGCTGATTTCTTGGGGGACTAATTGCTACTTTACCATAAGCCAGGTGCGGGTTGTGCCACGCACTGGCCACTCCCACTCTCCATTTAGTGAAGGGAAAGTTGCATTATGTCACGTGACGACAATGTGCCGTGGGTTTGACACCCTTGCCATAAGATGATCATTAGTCTGGATTCAAACAGCATACCAAGTTATGCTCAGCTGTTTTTCCAAGAAAAAAAAATGCTTAATGGCATTTCATCTATTCACAAGGTTATCATCTTTCCAGATTTAGATTACACAGTAAATCCAATCCCTGAATGGTTTAGAGCAGAATTTCCCAACCTTTCCGGCTTTGCAGACTGGTGGGGTGGGGGATGGGGCTAGGGGATAGTTCTGTGCAAGTGCATGCAGCTCCATTTGCACCAGTGGCATGCACACTACTCATCCACTACTAGCGCAGTAAGTAAGTAAGTAAGATCTTTATTACGGTCAAAGACCAGCAATNATTGTTTTCAACAATTTGATATATATATATATATATAAAGTCACGTTTTTTGGAAAAGTAAATTGTGATAATACTGTTCAAGACCTCAGAGCATTTAGTATGCAATTTCTAAAGGATGTGCCTAAAAACCCACATTTTTAGGTTTTTTTTTAATACATCCAAGTCTTCACAAGAAAACCAACAAATATATGATTTTACAATACAATGTGCTTATTTACCCAAATCCAATTGAATTATATGAAGGCAAGTAATGTAACAGCTTTAACCTTGATTAGTCAGAAAGAAACTAGTAATACTGCAATGTTAACTAGAAACCACATTGGAATGAATTGTGCTTTTGAGTAAATATGCAAAGCATTAAGCTTTTTACTCTGTCTGAAATATGTGCAGTCGTTTTAACAAAAACGTGCCAGAAGTTTTAGGATGTGCAATGCCCCCCAAATGAACATACAACTTGAGGCCCTATTTTAACTAAAAAATTAATCCGTGATCTATTACTGTATGAGGGAAGAAATACCTCTCTCGACCCAAACTTCAGAAATCTAGATCCTGGGGTGCCCGTTCCCTTTGGCTCGAAGGGAAGATGGGATTTAAGCATGTGGTGAGCCAAAGCAGGCCGTAGCAGCGGCTGGAATCAATGCAGAAGGAGGAGCTAGAGAGGCCTGGCTGACAAAGCTCGCTGCGTAGACGGCTGGTGACCAGGAAGAAGAACGCCGCTTTAGGCTCGGAGGAAACGGGCTCTGTATACCTGGACGCCTCCTCCTTCGCCCAACTCACAGAGGTCCAGAGGAGCTGGACTGAGGCCCTGATGATGCCCGAGGGCTGAAGCCTCTCCGATTCTTTCCTGCTGCTCTTTCGGTGCTCGAGCGGTAATTGGGCATTCTGGCGGAAGGCGAGAAAGGGATGGTCACTCCCTGAGGCGAGCGGATAAGCAGCTTAGGTCTGGTAGGGAGCTGGCATGAGCTTCCAGTATCGGGTTGCTGCTGCTCGGGGAAGGCCGAGGGAGAGCCGCCGCTGTTGCCTGGAGCTGCCGTTGTGTTTCTGAGAAGGAGAAGGCCCCCCTACTTCCCTTTGGGGAAGATGGGAAATTGCTTGAAGTCGCCCACTTCGGATGATATTTCCCTGCTGCACGAGTCCCAATCGGACAGGGCCAGCTACGGGGATGGGACCGAACAGGATCAGGAGCCGCCGCCGCCATATCAGGTATTGCGAGAAACCGAGAAGGAGCCGGTCCCGGTTGGGGCTGGATAGGAGAATCAAATTCAGCGAGGGGGAATTTTCTAACGGGGTAGCTGAATTGATCCGTTGCAACAAGAACGGGAAAGGGGGTCTCGTAGCATCATAAGGCTCGAAGGTAACTGTGGCGGGGGGGGGGGGAGAATAGCTTGAACGCCTGTAGGGCATATATTGATTCATCCCAGATTCATCGGGAAGGGAAACATAAATTACAGTCGCTAATGGGCCGAAGCAAAATTTCCATCCCTTGATTTCGTAGGTGTGAGTGTTTGCCTTTAAAAATAAAAGTCTGTTGCCTTGCCGGTTTGGAGTAAATAGCCACCGATGAGCAAACAAAAGTAGGGGGTTTCCTTTCACATATGGTTACCAGTAGCAGTAGTCTATTCCTGAGGCCTGAAATTTGACATCTGGCCAGATCTCGCTCATCTAAACCTCCTCTTCCAGTCTGGTGGAGGAGACCTACTTTCTTTCCTCCCTCCCATCCTCATTTGCTTTTCAGTACTGTATTAAAAATTTAAGTATTCAAAATTCTGTTTGTGGTTTTTATAGCTCTTTAAAGACAAAATATTTTGGAATTCTATTAAGTCAGAGAATTTTATTTCCAAGTAGTATAATCAAAATTGCACTTAATTGATTATAATGTTTGATTGATTTGGTATTTAATACTAGAAATTACGAATTGTCATTTCAGAAATATTTTTCTTTATCTGGGTCATAAAAGGAGGTTCTAGTTTTTCAGCCAGGGCAGCTTCCTTTGTTTCTACACAGAATGACATCACTGTCTGGTGTTGCTTCCTTCTTATTGCCTTGTTAAACCAATAACAGTGTGTGTGTGTGTGTATGAGAGAGAGAGAGAGAGTGTGGGGGGGGGGAATCCTTTTTTAGGCTTTTGAAATTTATAATTTGTAAAGCGGTTTCTGTGGCAATATGCCTTATTTCCTTTGTTATAACTCGTACTAAGCATAGAAAATAAACATTTTGTTCTTGATTTTCTACCATTCTCTTAACATGTTCTGTTTTTTTCTTCTCTTATTATTCATTATAACTCCCCCCCCCCATTCTTGGAATACATGACTAATGGGTGGATTGGGTCAAACAAGTGATAGCTGGAATTCTGCTGAAGTTAGAGGCAGAGGGTACGAAGGCAATTTTCACAATCAAAGCTGTCTGCCGCTCATCTTCCTCTTTAAAAATTGCTATGGAAGTGGAGGGGCACTGCTGAGAAACATGAAACATGAAGAGAACTGTAAAAGGTGTCAAGTTTGTGAAGATTGCTTCTCTGTTTCATTGTACTTAGCGGAGACCCTCTATTTTAATCCTGGAGTTTTAATGACCAATCTACTGTAGTCATTTCTGACCTGATTAGTTAACAGCACTGCATGTTCATTTCCTGTGTGGATAATAATTTACGGTATATTATGCATGTAGCCTGCCTTTTCAACAGTGTTGCTAGTTCTCATCCTCAAATAACCTTGTGAGGAAGATGAGGCTGCAAGATTCTGATTTCCCAAAGTTCTGTCAGTAAACATAATTTAGATCTTCCAAATCCTACTTCAGTATTGTAAAAACTGTACCCTCCTTTTAAAGGATAAATGCAAAATGGTGTATTATTCTAGGTTCAGTCCTTGGTGAAAATCAGTAAATATATTCTGAAAATCTAAGCAGTAATGCTTAGAGATTTTATTAAAGATTTATGAAGACTTGATTTATTCTCAATGCTTGCTTATTTTTTCAGGATATGGGATAAATGTTTTCTTGGGAAACTATTGATGAGCTACCAGTCTTCAGAGGTGAATAAATATATACTCAGAATCCTGTTGAGTTCAGT